TGCCCGCTGTGGAAAAAGGAAAACCCTCACAACTACGGTGGACACCTGCTTGCTGTCCACCTTATGGTCTGCTTGCCCGTTGTGCTTGCCTCTAGCCATGCTTCTAGTTGGGCTTATTTATACGATACTAATTTTATGTGAATTAGGGGCATCGAGAATACTTTAGTGACGTTGATACGTTTTGGAGGGAAATTGAATTACACGAGGAACTGTATGAAATTGAGGTTTTTTTTTAACTAGTTTTTCTGATATATCTAATCAAACTTGTGCCCATATTGACTGTATTTTTTTTCATGATAACAGGAAAAAGCTTTTAGATCAGTAATGCGTGGCACCATAAAAGTTGTCGATACTGCCATCGAAAACGCTTGTTCCACCATTGAGAACGTCAATACTAGACTGGTATGAATATATTGTTGTAATCATGGAATTAATAGAAGGATGAAACCAAAATGACTATTGTTTACCCTTATATATTATTATTTTAGACGAACCCATGAAAACGTGTAAATAACGTCACAGTCCCCAAAGGCAACAAAAAAGTCGGTATGAAAATTGCAAATATCATTTAACCGTGAAATATCTTCTCACCTTTTCCTATTTTGTTGATAGATTAAATGTTCCTCCATATCTGACACATCGTCTATCAATGAAAAGAGCGAAACAAAATGAAAATATGAACGAGAAAAATCGAGAAGACGGACACCGATCTCAAGATGAAAAAGGTTCTATATCTATAATACAGTATATTGCCAAATAAATTGTTTTTGCTACAGTTTCGCTAAATTACAGACACAATCATTCGAATTAACTCAGATTCAGAGAATGGTTTGAGTGAAGCATCGGAATCGATGGTTGGGAGAATAGAAAGAACTCCATTGACAGTGGACGACATCGACCTGGAGGAAGTTTTTAAAGATTACTGTGATGAATGCGAAGACAATTTTGAGTGAGTAAGATCATTTCTTGTAACTCGAAATAGTAGTTCACTTATCATCAATAATGGTTATTAGTTTATGTCATAGCGATATCATGGATATGAGGCCAACTTCACGCTTTACGGATAAAATTGTGGAAGAATATTGGGATAAATTCGTGCTAGGTACATATCCCAAGCATAATATACCCGAGGAATGGGTGAAATACATACAAGAATTTTTCAAGGTATGTCACAAAAATCGGTTTTGGTTTGCTTATCTTCGTTACTCATTTTGTCAATTGATGCTAAAAAACAGCCGAGAGTTAGCCTAGAAGAATGGACAAAGGCTTGGCGTGGACTTCATGAAAAGATTGACGAAAACAAAAAGACCTAGTGGATGTTATCTAAAACATCCTTGGACCATAGTATGTCTCCTTTACCATCCTTTTTATCTATTGTATGCAAATTTTATAACATAATGATTTGGGTTCTTTTTAGCATCAAAGCTTTTGAAGCACCATTCAACATCTTAAAGTCAGGTGATCTCAATACAATGCACAATTCATATGTCCATTAGGAAATACAATGAATACTGTGTGTGGCGTTGACTGGAGAATATAAGTCCCGATTATACACCTAGGAAAATATCCATTTGCTGTGATTAACTTTTGAAATTACACTGTTATAGTCTTGAAATTCCGGTAGAAAGTAGCAAAGCTCGTCACAATACAGGTATAAATACAACGTTGATAAAGTTTTAGAAGCAAAGTGCGCAGATGGGCTTGCTCGTCTCTGGCTAAGTCGTGAAGAAGTATTCTTGTATGAACAGACAGGATCTGATTTTGATGATATTACTCGGTTTCATATTCACGATTATAAATTGGTCAGAACAATGCAAGATGTATTGAATCAACGAATCATAATTCGCCTTAAAAAATGGAATATGTGATCATAAAGACCTTGCAAGCTTCAGTGCTTTTGGAAATGGTACTGAAGTATCTTTGTTTTGGTTAACAATACATCGGAAGTCGTATTGTCTTCGTGAATACGGAACTTTCAAGATCCCTTCAACTTGGCAAGAGTTCCCTGTTCTTTCCGAGGCAATTATAACATGTCTCAAATTTTTTGTAGGTGCATCAAAGTTTTATTTACTTTGTTAATTGCTCCTTACTAATACTGATCTGTCCTCAGTCCTTCATGAAAGAAAATATTGAAGTGAGAAATTCATACGTTGAACAAAACCAAAAGTTGGTGGCCAAGCGAAGAGTATTATGACGAATATTTAATGAAAAAATCAAGCAAAAATCTAATTCTACGTATAATTTTGATAATGAATATAAATTACACAGATATGGTTTGTGGATGTCTAATGCAATCAGAAGGATCAAACGTGTTAAAGATGCTGGTTTAACTGCTTAGAAGTTAGCATTACATTATGCTTGTTTACAGAAAAAGCAGAAATGTGTCGAATTAATAATGTATAAGTATTAACATTTGTAAAATGAATTATCACTGTATTAATATAACAACATATAACTTATCTATTTATCTGATTTATACTTATATATCCATTAAGAAAATTTATACCTTTTTTTAACTATGCATCAGTTGGTTCACTTTTTATTCTTTTCTTTTGTCACAATTCTATTATACATGTGGTAGAAATTGGTAGATCCTTGATGTAATTTGACACAATTATTTGATGAATTAATTGAGTCATTATTAAAACATAAAATAATTGAGTCAAATGCAATTATTTTTGAGAATTTTGGCAATTGAGTCAATAGCAAAATAATTTACATCACATGTATAAATTTTATCTCTTTTTGCAAATTCAATGGTGTATCAGACCTTAACTGAATTTCTAATGGATTATTTTCAGGTTTATCTAAATCAATTACAATAAATTCTTATATAAATAATTATTAATAACTATTGATGTATTTTTAATATCATCTGTATATAGTCTGAAAATTTTTGCAATATCCTGATAACTTTCACCCCTATTAAACAATACTCAGTGAATAAGATTTTTACAAATAAATGTAGAAACTTTGTGATATTTCTGGGTTATATATATATGAAATATTTTAATAATATCCATTTCCAAAAAATTGATCAATTCTATTTTATATATTTTCAGGAGCTAAGTATAAATCCTCAAAAAATAATTAGTGTACTTCTTTTTGGTGAGAATGATTCTATTTTGGGTAATTTTTCAGAAGAAATATATTTAAACCATATATTTTCATAAAGATTTATAGGGGTTTCTTGAAATTACTTTATACAAATATCTAACATATGTTTACTTTGATTTATTAAAGTGATAACCATTGACTATCAAATTATTACATTATATATATCTCAATTCTTTTTTTTACTCTTGTGAATATATTCACCTTTATTTTCAGAAACAAGGTTTATAACTAAATTCAACTTATTTATATCACTACTTCCTTTAATTAATATTCTAAATATTCAATCTGATACATATTCATGACTCTTACAATATAATAATATTTGTTTCATGATCTTATCCATAACCATAAGGAATAGTTTCATTTTTGGCATGTTAATTTTTATAAAATATAATATATATTTATTGAGAATTTGTAACAAATTTAAAAAAGTTTAATAAAACAGTTATCTAATTCACATATCTTGCAATTAATTATTTTTTCTCTTCATACTTCATATATATCTAAATTTTATGAACCATATAATAACAATAATTAATAATATAAGTAGTATATAATATGTTGCAAAACTTTTTAAAATTTTATTTACATGATATAAATATAAATAACTTTTTCAAAACAAAAGCAATTTATGTAAAATTTTAAATATATAAACAATATATCCTAACAAATATATACTGTATATATTCTTAAAATTTCAATTATTATTATTTTTTTTATAAACAAACTCTTACAATGTCATTTTTTAAAAAATATACAATAACAAATTATATTATATTTATGGAATAATGGAATTATTTCTGCAAATAAAATATATTTCAGAATTAATATAAATATATCAACAATCTATTATAATCTTAAAAAATAAAACTCTAAAGATAATAATTCAAGAAAACCAGGTGAAAATTGTTCTAAAAAGATTACTTCTCATGCATTAAAAGCAATTGATCAATATTTTTATTATAATCCAAGACTCTATAAGAACTTTGATAATTAAATTATTAAATATTAATATAAAAGTATTATATTCAACTATTTTAAGACATCAGACAAAAATGGACTATAAAAATAACTTATCTTTGAAAACACCTATGCTTACTACTGCTTATAAAGAAACATATATAATTTAAGCAAGAAAACATCTTAGTGACAATTGGAAAAAACCTTATTTTCTGATGAACAACATTTCAATTATTCAGAAACACAATTACTTAGTAATACAAAGGTACAAGATTAATTAAAAGAATGCCTAAAGATTATATAAAAATTTTTGTATGGGAAGGATTTTGTTCAAAAGAAAAAACTTTTCTTTTTTATTTAAAAAAATTATGGATACAAAATTTTATATTAATATTTTGTAAAAATATAAACAAGAAATTGAAGAATTGCTTGAAAACAATTGATACTTTTAATAGAATAATAATTTCAAGTATACTAGTAAAATTATTAAAAAATTTTTAAATGAAAATTTTTCTGAAATTATAGATTTCCTTCTAATAGTCCAGATTTAATCCTATTAAAAACCTTTGATCTATTGTTAAAAGAAATGTAAAAATGAGATTATTTCAAAATTTTTTAGAATTAGAACAATTTATAATAGAAGAATGGGAAAAAATTCCAAATAGAATTATAATTAATCTTATAAGTTCAATAAAAGAGAAATATGAATAAATAATAGTAAAAGAATTAATTATTAATAATATACAATAAAATTTTTAAATTTTAAGTTTTATTTTGATATATTTTTTATTAATTTTTATATAGTAGTTTTTGAGTAATGAATAAATAAAAAATTTTAAAAAGTTTTATAACATACTGTATATACTAATAGTAATAATATTAAAGCATTTGTTATAATAGGAAGAGGCAAAGCCTTGAAATTAGGTTTCATCTAAGAATATGATTCAAGTAAAGAGAAAGTATTATTCTTCTGTTTTATAAGATACAACATTATACTTTTGAATATATTTAATAATATAACAGAACTTATATGTATATTATTTGAAGGTATATCAGATAATATATTATTTTTTATTAACTTAATATTACTCTTTAAAGATTTAGACACTACTTCATTATGAGTTGATATAATAGTATCATTTTTTTTTTCCTATTTATATTTTTTTTACATGCTAAATATTTATTAAGATCATTATTAACAAATATATTATTGTTGGATATCATTATTTTACAATTAGAATTTGATATAGAATTTTGTTTCTTCCTTTGTATATTTTTTTTATCATCTTTATTACTGTATATATCCAAAAATAAGCTATCATTTTTTTGCAAAATTTTAAACTTGAAAAATAAGGGGATAGCTTATTTTCAAAGTTTTATTTATTAATCACTATCTGAAATTTACATAAAATTATGGATTTTAAAAGGTGGGTAGCTTATTTTCAGGGGTAGCCTATTTTCGAACATATATGGTATTTATAGATCGAAATATAACCTTCAATTTCAGATACTCGAATTCACTAATCTTTAAAGTTAACTTTTGTTCTACTTTAGCCAATTCAGACCTGATAGATAGTAGCTCAAATTCTTTTTTTAATGAATCAGCTTGAATCAAAAATATATCTTTTTGAGTTGAAGCTAACTTATTTTTTTTTATCTCATTTATAGCTTGAAGTAATTTATTTCTTTTAATTGAATATTGCATTTTGCTTGTATTTGGCATAAGATATTTGTAATTGGAAAATCTGGAATATAAGGTTAATATTTTTAATTTATAATTACTTAGTTTCATCAATAAGTTCTAAAGTATAGATATATAACTTCTGTTTTTTACTATTAACATTATCAAATACACTTTCCTATTGTTTTCTTTTCCAATTTCATTCTTTTCTTTTTCAATCAAAATTTTTCTTCTGCTTTGAATATTGAGTCAATAATTTCTTACTAAGATTATTTGTTTCATTTATAGATTTAAATGAAATTTTAATTTTTCTTTAAACTCTTCTTTATACTCTTCTTCATATATACTTTCAAGTTGATAACCTTTGTTATATTATGTAATATATGCATATTGGTTATATTAAATAATAAATATTTTATTTAAAAAACATTTTTTAAAAAATCTATAGATATTAATATTTATATATGAAAGACACTAGCTTTACTATAGATATAATATAATAACAGTAATATGTATTAATAAGTATTGGCATCATATCAATGAGTATTAATTTTATATTAATAAGTATTAGTACTAAAACAATACATATTAATAAGATTTAATAAATATTGTTTACTATAAAACTAATATGTATTGAAAAAATATCAATGTTTTTTTTAAAATATATATTAATATAAAAATGGTTACTCACTTTTATCAAACCTTCTATTAATCCAATACAACTCAATTATTAGAGTCTGATATTAAGAAAATCAGAGATTCGAGAGAAAAAATATTAAATGCATCAAAGAAAATAGCAGAAAATTTTTATATTAATATTTATTATATATATGAAATATGAAAGTATATTGAATAGACCTGTGGGTCTATAGCACAGTGGTTAGTGCTTCACAGGTCAGATCACAAGATACCGGTTCAACCCCAGGTGAAGGCGGTTGAACAGGATTAATATGGTATCTGGCACTATAACCAATCATGTGCTGTTTCTCATATGAAGTCATTCACATGCCAATCTGGTAAGGTGTTGAGATTGTGATTTCCCGTTAAGGTGTCGCAGTGTAACGATCGTCCGGTAGGTGCATGATGATCGTCGAGAAGCTCTCCCTTCATACATAGGTTGTGCAGGCCCTCTATGTATGTCGTACCCAATAGGCTGAATTCGACCCCAGGATTTTCTAGTTTGGAGCTATCCCAATCCGGCGCTTGCTTAAAAGAAGTCGGTCCCGTCGAAAAGGATCTACCGAAGCCGCAGGTGGTGACAAGGAGCAAGTATCCCCTCTGAGGGTCCAAACGAAAAGTATCGTGGTGTCCGGAAATCCGAAGACCAACCACTGAGGGATAGATATAGCTCTTAGAAACCGGGTTATAGGTTAGGTGGTTTAAACTAGTAGTAGGCATTCCCCCCCTATAGAAACCCCACCCGATATGCAAAGCCC